CTTGTCTAGCACCGGCAGCAGCGAGGATCAATTATTCTTTCAATTGCTGAAGCATGCTGGGACTGCTGCCATGGCTTTTGATGATGTCATGGCCACTCATGGCCGAAAAATCAACGAAACAGTTGCCGAGCAGATGCTGATGCACTACAACCGCTTCATCGTGCTGTGTAATCGTGCTGGGCTCCCGCTGCTACCGAAAGCTCATCTTATGTTCCACTGCATCCAGCGAAGTCTCGAGCAGGGAAACCCGAGGACTTATACGACATACGCCGACGAATCCTATAACGGAGCTATTGCACGGGTTTGCCGTTCGGTTCACAGGAAAGGCTGGGCTCTGGCTGTCTACAGAAAACTGCAGATGATGGAGGCCATGAAGGCCGAGGATTCTTAGTGGAGTCTCGGCTTTATAGTTTACTTATGTGAAGAAATGGGCTGTCGGCACTCTTTTAATGAGCAGGTTGTTCTATTTACTATAAGAACTTGGTAGAGGCTTTTTTGTAGAGTTCTAGATGATTGTACACGGAGTGCTCTTTCGAAGCTACGCCCTAAACCCTAAACCCGAAAACCTTCAGGGTTTAGGGTTTAAGTTTTCAGGGATAGGATGTTGTGGCTTAGGGGCCAGGGGACGAGGCTGTATCGTGTAGCTTACTTTCTAGCCAGCCACAAATCCACAAACCCTAAATCCTGATGCTATCGCCTCTCCATGTTTGAAGCCACGGGTTGAAGCAACATGTGCTCAGGAGGACCGATGATATTCGTGCTGCTTGCTCGATGGATGTTTCACAGCCGATTCTGTGGGGCAAGTTGTGAACTTTAATGCATGCATACGAAGAGATACATAAGTAGTAAGACTGTCTTTGCTGGGCCCTCTTCAGAATTTTGGCAAAGTGCCAAGCAGCCGAACCGCATTCCCGCTGTCCCAGCACAAAGCGCCATCGATCGCCAGAATGGCAGGAGATTTAGTTGATTTGGCTTCTTGGGTTTAAATAGTGCCAGGTTTGTGGGATATCTGCAGCTTCAAATCTTGTTTTACGTCAAATCGTGGGTTCTCGGGGCTCTTTGTCCTTCAGGAGTGTTTGGGCGCAAAGCTTGCTACGAACCTTTTGGCCAGCTCCAAGCTTCAGTCAAACCCCCAAACCCCCAAACCCTAAACCCCTAAACCCTAAACCCCTCGAGTTTCAATCTTTTTAACCGTACAGCAAAGCCTTTATATTCGAGCAGACTCCAAATCCCGACGGTCCCAACAGCTCCTACAAATCACAAGGCTCCTCTAATAAGCAGAAGCTAGAGGGCCCACCGTAGCTCTGCTCCCGAACCCAAATCACCAGGAAACTTCCAAGCCCGAAACCACAAAACAACAAAGTTGCCCGAGCATTCTATCCCAGACGACGCCCTCCTCTCAGCATTCGAGATTGGACCTGCTCCGAAACCCTAAAGACTTGTCCACCTCAAAACACCCTTACAAAACCCGGACAAGCTCTACTTAACCCTAAACCCAAGCCCGAATAATAGGCTCTGCGGCCCCAAACTTAAACCTAAAGTTTTGAAGTCGAAAGAAAGGGATCCAGATGTCAAGAACTCCAGGTTCACATGCACACACTCGCTTCTTCACACATTGCTGCACACATCACACACACACACATATATATATATATCGATATAGATAT